TAGTTGTTGAGTATATGAGCATGTTTCGCATTTTCAAGCGGTTCTGTATCTTAGTATTTCAGTGTTAAATACATCTATCAATAAACACCACTGTTCAAAAATATGGGGTTAGTATGATGTTATATTTAGCAATTAAAATCATCATAAGTGACATTTACACAGAAAAAATTTCCATTTAAAATAAACGCTGTTCTTTCTGTACACCCAGGAAACCAAGGCTGCACAATATATCATTTGAACAGCGATATTGCAATGTCTGGATGCACAATAGTCACATCGCAAGATTAGATTATTTCCACAACATTCTGACACTCGATGACACTCGAATACCCTGTCAGTAATGTCTTGAGGCTGGGAATGAGCTTTTTTACAGTGTCTGTTATAATGTTAATGTTGTTTTTGTGTGTTTACATAGATCAATATAGCCACAGTGTAAATGCACAGTACAGTTACGATCTTATTGCCACATTATATCATTATGATAACATGATATATGCCTTCAGTGATTTTCTGAAGATAAATACCAAAAAATAACACAACTGTAATAACTACAGCAGTCGCCATCATCAAACTCATATTTAGTACGACATATGATGACGTGTGCAGGTGCTGTAGTGCTGTTCCATTTCTTGGGGGTACACTTCGAAGCCCTTCCCCTTCACACTCTGTTTCAAGGGGAAGAGGGGTACAACAATAGAATTAGGATTGGGCCTAAGTACATTGTATTTATATTTTAATGTGCTAAGTATATGTTTAAAGTGGGACAGATTATTGAATATATTTAAAACTGCCAATGCTTAACTATTTAAAGGTTCAGGACACCCTGGATAATTTTTTCTTTTTTATTAACAGATTTGTGTGAGTTGAGCATCAGTTAAGACAATGTTAGCATCTGTCAGCTTTAATTGTGGGGAAAACTGGATAATTTTGAGCTTTTGTCAGCTAATTTCAGCTTCCGGGTTTAAAATGATTTTTAGGGCGGGATCAAAATTGGCGATGTAGCGCAGTACTGCAAGTGCATTGATGACGTGTCAGTTTCTCATTATTATTCAAAGCGGAGTTTTCTTATCCTATGAGAAGAGCCGGCTCCTTAATTATTCATGAGCACGTACTTTCCGAAGGCAAGGCAGACTCAGACGCAGACCTGCCAGACCAGTGCCAAGTTCAAGCTGTGAGACACGGACCCACGGCACGCAGTAGCCGTTTATGAAGGCTCGTATGTGTTTGTTCCCATGATCCATGGGGTTTGTTGCATGTTTTTCCCCGGGATCCTGTCAGGGCCGATCATACAGCAAAGCTGTGTGTGTGATGCAAGCATTTTTGTCGGGAGAGCAGCACGAGAATTGGAGAATGGCGGATGTTGTCTTGTATCAGGTGTTCATTCACATTCAGACACATCGCCGTGCTGCTGTGTTTGCCTAAATCCTCCAGATTACCAGCAGGACTAATGGTTAAAATAGATAGGTCAGGAGACCTGCTCCACTGAGTCTGCATTTAGATCTATGATTCAGACCCAGGGATTGAGGGAGAAGTCCTCATTTATAGTGTGTACATGAACACGATTATCTTTATAATGATATAAATTGTGGTTATGTGTATATGAAATTACGAATAACAAATGTAGCAGGGCATTAAATTACTGTTTATTTCTTTGCATTTTAACTTTGAAAACTATAAACTCATGCGTCTCCTCACGGTTTGTCTCATTTTGTGAGCTAGCTTCATTCGCTCACGTTCTCCCCTGCTGGTCACGCCCACTCCTGCCCGATGCTCGCGGAGCTCCACGCCCATTACATTTACATTTACATTACATTTAGTCATTTAGCAGACGCTTTTATCCAAAGCGACTTACAAATGAGGACAAGGAAGCAATTTACACAACTAAGAGCAACAATGAATAAGTACTAAAGGCAAGTTTCAGGTCTGTAAAGTCTAAGAAGGGAAGTATTAGTAGTATTAGTTTTTTTTTTTTTGTACAGTTAGTGTGATATTCAAAGAGGCAATTGCAGATTAGGAAGTGAAGTGGAGACTAAATAGTTGAGTCTAATCATGCATCTTTTGAAAAAATTCTGAAGTAGACTTTAACCAAAAGTGGGGGGTGTCATGGCCCTTTAAGTATTTAAATTCTGTTATTTGAACTGTAAAGTTGTGTTAAAACCATTGTAAACAGCAATTCAGTATGACTAACTGTACTTTAGAATTTCCCTTTTAACTCCCTTTATAATGGTATTACTGTTAACACAAATTTGTGTCAAACTGATTTTCTCTGGCATTCGACAGCACGCCACAGATGCTGTTTGTAGAGCTCGTTTTTTTTTCTGAACCCGGAACATTTTTCTAACATCACACATGATAAAAATATTGTTTACGGCTCCAGACAGCTTTAGTTACATAACAGAAAGAAGCATGATTACAGAGTGCATATCAGACAGCATGGCAAGACTGTGAAATTATTCTCACAGTAGTACTTGTTTCCTTTCGCTCCTGCTGTTTGGAAAGGGGAAGGTTTGTCAAACCTTTTTCTCCGACTGTCTTTTGGTTGTTTAGGATGCTATTTGTGTGTGACGCTGTGTGTGTCCTCCGCAAAATGAAGCGCTTGTTTAAAACTTAATGTACATAGTATTAAATATAGATGACACTTTATTTGCAGTTAAAAAGGTCACCGAGGCGAAAATTGCCTTGTTGCTCGAACATTTGCCAGCTCAGGCAGTTTGAATAGTCAAGTCTAAATAAAGCATAAAAACATGCTGTTAAATTAATATATAATCACTCATTTAGACTCAAAGCTGCGCCTACTCAGTTTAAAACAGCAAAGAGCAAAAGTAGTACTTAAGTTCACATTCATTCAATGATTTTTTTTCTCAGCATGGTCTCGGATTACAGACTTTTACAGTGGCAGATTTGTCCCCAGATCCATCAGGCTCATTTTACAGCTAATGCGTTTGAAATAAAGATCCTCAAATAAAGCTTTAATGTGGTATCACGCCCCATTTTTACTTCAGATGGATCGTTTTAAGCCTCCTTTTGATTCACTATTTCGTGCATTAAAAGTCACAGCAGCAAACTTGAGTATAATCTTGAATCTAATAGCATTGAATCGTTCTAATGTCCGGGTTTTGAGTGCAAATGTACTGTGCTCCGACGGTCCTCTCTTGCAAAAAGAGGACTGGATCAGATTGCTAGTTAATTGCCGTCTTTGTACTGCTGGAACAGTAGATGTACTATTTGTACAGGCTTTCCCTGTGGTGACACCCCATGGTGCAATGGGTGTGATGCCAGCACTGCACTGTTTAGCGGCTCTGGGCTACAGCACAGGTCCAGATGTGGCCTTGTGTTGATAGATAGCGTTTTTTTTAGGCCTCAGTTTAGCGCTAATGGAAATTGATTATGACTTAATGAGAACTTTTGGCAGGTGATACCAAATCAGACCCTGATGTTCACTGTGAATCTGGGTTAAAAGGCTCTCTACTTTCATGTTTTGCTCAGTGATGTTTACTAGCCATGTTTTGACGTCTGTCCCAGTTAAAAGTCAGCACCGTTGCTCATCTGGATGTCATTTACTGATGTTACTGACACAACTGGTCGAAACCAAACACAGAGCTGAAACGCTGTTTATCCTAAAAATGCGGTAACACAAGTGGTAAATACTGTAAGGACACACAGTGTAATCAGTAAATCGGGATACGCTGGGCCAAAAAAAGCGTATTCTATGGAATTAAATTGTCTGTTTTAATTTAGTGCTGTTAAACGACTAATGGAAAGTCGTTTACAAAATAAACTATTGCGTTTACGAATTTTTTTGTGTATTGTATGGTATGCATGTGTGTATGTTAGAGCTGCACGATTCTGGATAAAATGAGAATTACGTTTTTTTTTTTTTTTTTTGCCTAAAATAAAGATCACGATTTTCTCACGATTCTGTAGATGTAAAATAAAGGTTAATATGAGTGGGCTATTATTATTGTTGTTGTTCTTAAACATGTGGTAAAACAGCAATAAGCTTTGTGTAGTTGTACTGTTGGTTAAAACATTTTAACTTGAACAGACTTTAGATTTGTCCTGGTCACTAATGCTGATGATAATTTTGTTGTTGAATTTTTGTGTTATTGTGTCAATCTGTAATTTTTTGCTTAAAATTTGTCACTGACGTGATTTTCGTGAATACAGAGGACTGGACAAGGGTATTTTTGCATTTTGGCAGGTTTTGGATACTTTTTGGGCTGGAATCGGTCAGCTACATCTGGCAACACTGTGTGCGCTTTCGGTTTCATTTCACCTTTTATTTACAGTCTATGCAGGTTCTGTTCACTAAAGTAGACTTCATTCAGCGCGCGCACGCCCTCTCTGTGATAACAGCTGACGGTCAGCTTGCGTGTGATTTTGTGGTCGCAAGTACATTACATGAAGACAGAAATGACATTTTTGGGGTAAATTGTATCTTATAAATACAGTATGTGACTCTTTTAACACCATTTGGAGGTGTCCAAGTTGCTGATCAACATATGTAAAACAATGTGAAGACTTGTGCGGCCACTTTTGCTTCTCTCCTGAACTTGAAAATACAATTGACAGAAATGCTGGATTAAGATCGTCTAGGGGGTCGAATCGAGATCGCGACCCTTTTACGATTTATTGTGCAGCTCTAATATATATACATACATACATACATACATACATACATACATACATACATACATACATACATACATACATACATACATGCATGCATACAGTTAAAGTCAGAATTATTAGTCCCCTTTGAATTTTTTTTTATCTTTTTTAAATATTTACCAAATGATGTTTAACAGAGTAAGAACATTTTCACAGTGTGTCTGATTAAGAAAAAGTGAATAAACGTGTCTTGTTTGTTTGTAAAAAGTATGTAACATGCTGATATGAAAAAGTCTGACAGTAAAGCTTAATGTATCACATCATATCATATCGTAAACACTGAAATGTACCAAAAAGTACTGAAATCATCTATGTACTTTCTCCCGCAGGTAAAAGATGAGAAGAAAATTCAGGAGGTGGTGGATCTCACAGACTACGAGAAGTCTGAGGAGCTACGTAAGGCCAAAAGCAGGAGCAAAAAGAACCACAGCAAGTTCACGCTTCTGCGTTCACGGCAGCCAGGCAACACGGTCAGTCTCTACAGGACACCGGGATAACGCTTAATGGCTTTACGCTCCAGTCAGCACTACAGCACTGCTGGGAGGCTTCATTAGTCAGTTTGCAGTCATGCTGTTAGACACTGATGACCTGTTGCACAACTCAGAGATCTGTCTGTTCATACACATTCACACACTTTGGACAAAAAACTACATTAAAAAAGAGGAGCTTATTGGCTATAGGACTGCACAATATATTAATAAACAATCGCAATAACAGTATATGCAATACCATATCACAGGGAAGTGCCTTAAATTAAATAGTTGGGTGTAATGCGTTCCACAGTAATGCGTTTCTGTATTCTAATTACATTTTTGGGGAATGCAGTAATGTACCGAATTACATTGTAAATTTGTGTAATTTGATTTCAGTTACTAAAGTCAATGTAATTGCGTTATGTTAAAAATAGAGTTTTTAGAAGAAAAAATGCTTCTTTTAGATAATGTTTTTCGCTGTAGTTAGTGAGCAAGTGCTTTTAAATTGCTAAGGATCGCAAGCTAAAATAGTTGCTGGTCAGAGTGGTTGCTTCTTCAAGTGGAAATACAGACATAACTTTGATTTCAATAAGCGTAAAAACAAAAATATTGCTGTGAAAGGCAGTCTTGTCCAGTCTCTCAAGAACTTTCCACTGCTTTTAACTCGACTAGCAACTTGTTCGAGCACTTGAACAGAAAGCATTGTAACCAAGGAGGACACAGCACCCAAAAACACAGCGGCTCGACTCAGCCTAAACAGGCTAAATTGGATTTTTGCGCAGGATTGTGAATGAAGATACCTTTTGAATGTGAAGAGAAGCATAGTTGCTTATGGAGTCGTTCAAGTATCACGTCATTATTGTGCACAAGCTTATTTCCAATGGAGGCGCGGTTTGCATACATATACATATTGGGAGAGCATATTGCGCATGCTCTCATTTTCCAGGCACATCAGTTGAAACCCTGAGTCACTTCACAAGAACTGTCCGATCAGTTTCATGCTTTGTATGGAATATACACATTTCGGTAGACTAATTACTGTCGAAGTCTGAATTATTGTTTTACTTTGATAGTCATTGGCGGCTAATATAATTTCCCTGCAAAGAAACTGTTTTCTAAAATTATATTACTAAGAAGAAAGTCTGAATGTGTCAATATAAAACCGTCTTCACCCCAATGCAATATTTTATCCAGTTAGTGTATGACGGTTGGTATAATCAGGCGGCACTCTTCATCGCAGTGAGCGTTTGTATGGGCGAGGATGTCAGTTTCCAGAAAAGAAAAGTAGGCAGGAAATTAAGAGTTTTCAAAGATGATTAGACAGAGACGTATGAGTTCATTTCGCTCTAATCTAGCACAAAACTGCTCTGTTTTATTTCTATTTCTTTATATGAGATGTATAGCATCTTTACACGCCAAAGTGGAACATAAATCAAAGTTAAAGCGGCTTAAATTTGCAAAAAATTTATATTTACTGTACACTAACCGTTAAAAGCATCTTTACACTGAATTTTGAGCAGACACAGACCCGCTTTAGGGCTGCCTTAAATCAGCCGCGTTAAGAAGACTTTAGACTGCTCTATATATTGGCACCATGTTACTTTTAAGAAAATAAAAAAATTATACATTGACACTTGTCATTTAGCCACTATTATTAATGTATGTTCAGGGCTCGAATTTAACTTTTTTACTTGGTAGCACCGGTGCTCCCAACTTCAAATATTTAGGAGCACCAAAATAAATTTAGGAGCACCAGAAAAAAATTAGGAGCACCCACCAAAAATGATTGAGCACCGCTGCAAATTGCTTTTTAAGGGATTTATTGTATTTTAAAACAACATCAATAGGACTGACAAAAACCAGAAACAACTATCTAACTAATGCTGCGAAGACATTGATATTTGTGTGCAATAATTCCAAAATGAATGTCTAATAATTATAGAATATTAATGATGATGAAAATGACAATAATAGTAAAAATGAATTACATTTCTCATTATGATACTGCCTTGAATGTGCATGAATGTAGGTTATCTGCCATAAAAAGTCTGTTACTTTATGAAAAATAATTGTATAGTTTGCATCAAACAAAAATGAAGCATTGCCTTAAGAAATATGTATTTTGTACTGCTGTATTTATATGCATGTCAATTTAATAAATAATATTTCTGCTACAAAACAAACAAAAGATTATAATAAATCATTCAATTCAATGATGAAAGCTGCAAAGCAGTCATCAGTAAATAAATAAAAAATAAAATTAATATACACCTCAAAAAAGAATAGACAAAAGAAAGAAAGTAAAGTCTCACTTCTATCACTCTTTAAAAGTTTTGGTTTCAGTTTGTGTCAATTTAAAGGTTCAGTCTGAGATGATCTTCATTTTTCTGTGTTAGTGGAAAAGCAGGCGAGTCAGTCGACCCAATTTATGAGCAGGCAGCGCAAGATTCTTGCGATGACCACCGGCGGAATACCGCTGTTTGTTATGAGACGCAGTTTCAGTGTAAACTTAGAAAAGGCGGGGTTCTTTGGCGATGGTATTAGATTAGACTTTTAGCGGACATTTGCGCTGAACACGCAGTGAATGCAACGCATGGAGATTCGGGCGCCTTCTCCAAGAAGCGCGTACTCGATTGATCTCAGCTGGCGGATCATTATTCACCACGTGACGTGTCATGATCGCTCTCATCTGCACCTCAATTTTAGGTGGGGTTTGCAAACCTGTGTGCTTTAAGTTTTTACTCTTCTGCCGTTTGCATTTCCCCGTGGTCATAAAAGCTCCTTCCCTGTCATCTGACAGCGAAATACCTTGAGTGATTGACAGCTAATGTGAACCAATATAGCGGCAGGGAAGAGCGATTCAGCACGTTTTTACAAAAAATCAAAACAGGTCGCACTACAACCATTATCTGCAGTCGCACTAATGCGCCCAAATATATTATGAGGTCGCATAGATTAATTTTCGGGCGCATATGCGACCAAACTGGTCGCAATTTCGAGCCCTGATGTTTATTCAATGGAAAATGTGTTAAACTTTTTTAATGGTTGATTTTTGTATGTGCATGTTTATTAAATTCAAGTTTTGTAATAACCAATTATTACTGTGCTTTGACATTGATGCTAATTCAAATTTGAAATTTTGAATTGAAACCTTGATAATCCCTGATAACAGCAGTAAACAAACTGCTTCATTAAACCGATGATTCAAGAGTCACACCTGTTTGCAAATATAGACTTGTGTGAACAAATACACTAAGGCTCGAGTCTAAAACACATTGATCATAGACAACATTAGACAATAAATTGTACTCTGGCATAGTTGGCACACCAGTTTCCAAGCACAAACTTGGATCGACCTCTGTAGTCCTCCTATCCTGTGTAATTGGCTTTCAGTAAGAACAGCTCAGCTTATTGCTTTCACTAGCACACCAATATCCTTCCTTAGACCAACACAAATAGTACATCTAACCAAGGCTCCTTGTTTCTTAAAGGTGAAGTGTAATGTTTTTGGATATTATATAATTAAAATCAATATATTATTTGAAGGTTTAATTTAATTCTGCCTCCTCACAATACTGTTAGCCATTACAATCTAAAGACCATTCAAAATAAGACACTGAATTTAAATTTAAAATGATATTATGAATTCAATTTTAAAAACATAATTTTTTATCTACTGGCTCAAGAAACTGGATAGGAATGGGGGCAAGACTATCTATATTTGGGATTTTTTTAGAAATTTAAAAAAAATATTCTGCACTTTATTTTTAATAAAAAATAATTAAAGGGTTAATTCACCCAAAAATTAACCTTCGTTCATTATTAACTCGCCCTTCACTTGTTCTAAACCTGTTTGATTTTCTTTCTGCTATTAAAACACAAAATAAGATATTTTGAATAATGTTGGTTGCTGGCACCCATTAGCCACATTTCCAAAGTTGGGCCACTGTGTGTAGGAAGGCCAAATTCATGTTGCGTTTTTACTGTCGGGCTAGTAGCTCGCAAGGCGGCATGCAAACCCCACCCCCAGAACATTCCCTGAGTTAAACGTCACACAACCCGCCCAGTTTAGCTGGAATCAGGCAGGCAGATAAAGCACACCATCGCATCATTAGGAAACAATAAAAAATGAAGACAACAGAAACAAACAAATGACACATTACTGTACAGCATTACATTATATGTCTATACACACAGGCCTTTGTATTTCATTCATTATATTTATTTACTCTGTGACCAAATGTTGGCATTGTGAATCTAGTGGTCTTGCCACTAATGGAGATATAGATTTCTTATGTGCAGTTTTCGAAAAACTGTACAAAAGCACGCACATCCCTCTTAACTGGGTGCTCAGCCAAAAAACGCAAAAGGTGCGAATTTAATAAATGTTTATTTTTGGAGCTTTGGTGTTGCCGCCTTTGATGAATATTTACGTGCAGTTTTTCCAAATCCATTTGTAAAGCAGTGCTGCGCAGAACTGGATGACAGAAAAGAAGGTCGTTTCTGATGGTTTCCCTCACCCAAAAAAATACTCTGTTTGCATGATTTGATTTGAAACGGTTTAATTTATTTGTATTGTATCCTCCTAAATTGTTTTAGCTTTTGTTTGTTAATGTGATTTTTATTATATCCGATATTTGTTATTCTTTAAATGATTTCAATATAGCTTAGGCTATTTTATCTAGATCTGTCTTTCTGTTGTATTGTTGGCTCACCCTATTAAACTTTTACAGATATAAAAAAGCGGTTTTACAGAGAAATTCAAGCAAATATTATTCCCACCCCTGCCCTCTAAACAAGATGAAATTACATTCATCTAAGAGAAAAACGAAAAAATAATAACAACAACAATAATAATAATAATAAATAAATAATAATAATAAAAAACAGAAAAAAGAACAATTTAAAAAATTTAAAATAAAATTGAAAACAAAATTTTAAAAATAAATAAATAATTAAATAATTAAGAAAATAAAAAAGCTGTACAAAATACACAT